CTTATGTTCTGCCAGTCCCTTTATCAAACTTGGAAAGGATGGGTATTGCTTTGTGACCTACAGTACAGTTAAATGTTTAAGAGCAAAGATTCTAAGGTCAAACTTCCTGGGTACCGCCCTCTGCTCCATCACTTCCTAGCTGTAAAACAGTGGTTCCCTAATGTTTTGGTCTCAGGATTTCTTCACATTGTTAAAGACTAAAGATTCCAAAGGGCTTTCGTTTATGTGGAATTCAGTAAATATTGATAAATATATTTATATCTACCATGTTAGAAATGCTAAACCAAATTTTATGTATTTATAAATCGTTTAAAACAACAACAGTGAAACCATTACGTTTTCATAAAAAACAGCTGTATTTTCCAAAACAAAAAATTCGTGAGAAGAGTGCCGTGTTTTACATTTTAACAAATCTCTTTAATGTCTGGCCTAATAGGAGACAGCTTGATTTTCGTATCTGCTTCTGCATTCACTCCACTGCAATATGTGGTTTTGATTGACATATATAAAGAAAATCTGGCTTCACAAACATGTAGAAAAGAGAGGAATATTTCAATAGCCTTTTCAAATAATTGTGGATATTCTTCTTTGATACACCAGAACTTGATACACAGTGGTTTCTTAAAGGTCAGTTACAATGTGGAATTGGAAACTGTAATCAATGAACTTTTTGTAATCTGTTACATTTGAATCCACGGGTCTTTTCTTGCGTTTGGAATATACAACTTTTGATATACAATATAAAAAATGTATCATCCATCTAAAAAATTTTGAGGATGTTAAGCTCACAGCGGCATGTACAAGTTTTCCAAAATGCAAATTTTCACTTGAGCGCTCAAATCGTATCGAGAATAAAAGCTGTCAGGTATTTTCCCTGAAAAAATTTACGTCACTTTGCTCATTTTTTTTAAGTAAAGCAATTTTAAGTAAAAATGTTGTTCTGTGACAAAAAAGTGGCTAGTTCATCTCATAGCTCAATCACACGTGGTCTTCCTGGAGACAGTCATTGTACTTCAGCACGCAGCAACAGCGCTTATGTGTACCTCTTGCTTCCCTCAGAAAATACTATAGATGTGTACTCAAGGGTTGACATTTAATAAGATTAATAAATTTTACTGCTTCATCAAGAGTACGTGGGCTGTGAGAATGTGGGATGGGGGAGGAAGAGTACAGTGACCACGAGTACAGTTTGGGACCAGACACCAGCAGCTCTACCCCAACATTGCTTTTTCGTCAGCAGTACAAATACCAATACAATGGAAAAGGCAAAGAACATCTTAGTATGATTATGCAAATAGTTCTGACCCACAACCCTCCTGAGAGGGTACTGTCAGAACCATTACCGAAGAGTAAGTTATCTAACGTCTCTGTGTTTCAGTTTCCTGATTTATAAAATGGGATTAATAATAAACTACAGCTACCGCACAGGACTGCTGTGAAAACTAAGTGAATTTAAACCATGTAAAGAGCACTTAGAATAGTCCCTGGCCCATTAAGCTACCTAAGTATTTGCTAATATTATCATCATATGTGCAACATCATTAAATGTTCTTCCAAACATGAATTTATTGACAGTATATTATCCCATATCAATGTACTGTAAGTGTTGAACATTAGGCTGTTTCCAATTTTCTGACACTCTTGTACACCAATCTTTGGCACTTCTCTGATTATTTTCTTGGAGTAAACTCCTAGAGTGGAATTGTCCAGTCAGACTGCACACAGTTCTTGATAGGATGGTTTAAAAGTGTACAGGAAATATCAAACTGGGAGAGCTGAAGATAGGCCAAGTGAGTATCTGAGTTCAGTGGGGGGCATTTCTCAAGGTGGACATGATTGAGGGGGTAGCCCTAAGGGTGAAAGAATGAACAGCAATGAAAATTGGCCAAGATGTTGGTTAAGTCATCCTAATGAACACTGAAGTCACCTATCCGAACTGGAAGACTGGGACACAGGTTCTGTCATTATTCAGCAGGTGCGATCTACCAGAACATGGCTTTCCAGGAAAGCTGAAGTGATTAATATCTTTACAACCAAAATAAAAGACTTTCTAAGCTATTGATCTCTACTTGTCTGGTGCAAAAGAGAAAGAAGGAAACCAAAGACTCAAAGAAGAAACTAGTCTACAGGACTAACTGCCTACATGAACCACAGCCTCATCTATCCTGAGACCAGAAGAACTAGATGGTGCCCAGCAACCAGTACCAACTGTTCTGACCCGGGATACAATAGATGGTCCCAGACAGAATGGGAAAAAATTTCGACTACTGCCCTGAGACACGCTTTAAACTTTGAACTGAAACCACTAACAGACTGGCTCATAAAATAAACAGTATCACCCACGAGTACTGTGCTCCTTTGAAAAAAAAAAAAATCTTCTGCATGAGACAAACCAGTCAACATTTACCTTAAAGCAAAGATGGGGGGCGGGGGACAGGGAAGCTAGATTAATGGAAATGGAACAACCAGAATGGAAATGTTGACACAACATGCAAAATGTAACCAATGTCACTGAACAATATGTACAGAAATTCTTAAGTGGGAACCTAATTTGCTGTGTAAACTTTCACCAAAAACACAATAAAATACTTTAAAAAAATTTCCCAAACTTTAGATGATGGGTCATTTCCTTCCAGTAACATTCTATTTAGACAACAAAAAAACCAAAACCAAACCTGCTGTGGTCAATTCTGACTCAAAGCAACCCACGTGTTAGAGCAGAAGTGCTCCATAGGGTTTTCTTGGCTGTAATCTTTATGGAAGCAGATTGCCATGCCTTTCTTCTGTTGTGCTTCTGGATGTGCTCAAACTGCCAACCTTCGGGTTAGCTGAGCGCAAACCATCTGTGCCGCCCAGGAACCTCCAATTTAGACACACGCTCAACAAATCCATTACTTGTAAGTGGAACTTACCCAATAACACAACAGAATCCAAGCACAAAGTAGGTTTCTAGCTTCACATTTCTAGAAACTTGTTACATTCAGGCATCAAGGTATAACTCTGGGATGCTGGAAATGAAATTCGTGGGATCTTGGCCCAGGCAGAGGTAACATTGCAGATCACTGGGAAAAAGGGAATTTTTCAATAAACGGTGCTCTAACATTTGGCTTTCCAAATTAAAAATCTGAAATTGGACCAGTAGCTCAACATACGTAAAAATCGATTCCAGATGGAATGAGGCATAACTATCTGAAGAGCAAAACCAAAACTTTTAGAAGAAAGCAGAGAATATCTTTCTGACGTCTGGATATGGAAGAGTTTGCTGAACAAGATACAAGAAACACTAACCTTGAAAGAAAACACTGAAGATATTCCACTATATTAAGAATTTCATTCACCAAAGACATCTTTAAAAAAAAAAAAACCGAGTCATAAACTGGAAGAACCTATCTGCAATATATATAACCAATAATGAATTAGTATCAAGAACATTTAGAGAACTAAAGAACAATAAGACAACCCAACAGAAAACTGGACAAAAGACACCAAGAGGCACATCACAAAACTGGAAAGATAAAGGCCTATTAAGGAAAAAAAAAAGTGTGTGTATATGCACACACACAAACACACACGCAGAAAAGACACTCAATCTCATTAGTGATCAAGATCACAATCAACTATCACTTTATCCTCATGGGACTGGCAGAAAGGAAGATGACTCAGTGATACCAAGGGCCGGAGAGGATGTGGTCAGCAGGGGTTCTCAGGCTGCAGGAGAGCGAGCACGAACAGGTGCAACCACTTTAGAAAACAAGTTGGCATTATCCTGTGAAGTAGCGTAAAGAAACCCGTGCACAGGTGCATCACAAGATGTGTACAAACAACTCCACTGTAGCCCTGTTGATAACAGCAAAATGACTGGAAGCAATGCAGATGTCCATCAACAGGAGAACGGACAGACGGTGGTAAATTCATACAATGAAGCATGGTGCAACCATGAAAAATGAATGAACAGCAGCTACGCGCAACAACTTTGATCCATCTCAAAAACAAATGTTTTGTTAACAAAACAAAGCAAGTCCCAGATGGCTTACACAATAAAACCATTTTTTATAAAGCTCAAAAATAAGCAAAACTAAACATACTCTGGTTAGGGATCTGTATGTACATACAGGAAAGAAATGATACAGAATCCAGGATAAGCTCTCTCTGAGGCGTTGCAGAGGGACGGGCTCGAGAAGGCACGCAGGTAGATGCGTGGTGTTAGCAGTGCTCCAGCTCTTCCGTTAAGAGGTTTCACGGGTGATCATTTTGTTGTATTTCATAATTTGTGTCTTTTCTATGTGTCACATTACTTACCTCTTTTAATACAGTAAGTAAGGGTGGTTATATATATTTCACATTCTATTCCACAGCACTCAAGAAAACTTTTTTCTAAATCTGATGCTCTCGGAAGAGCCACCACCTTTATCTGGCCTTCCCGGAGCCTTGTCGTGAGTCACGCCTGAAGGAGCCTCGCCCCTCAGAGCTCTGACCACGGCCTACTCTCCCATCTCTATCTCCTGCCACTTCCCAAAGGGCCTGTGAGCTACTCACTTCCTCTGTGTGCCTCCACGTCACCACTCCATGCTGTCCCCACTGCCTGGGAACATCCCCATCTCTTCCTCATCTGCTGATGAACACTCCCTGCAGCTGGAGGAGCCTTCCTCCTCACTGTTGCCACGATGCCTTGGTCACACTCCCCTTTTAGCCCTGACTGGGCACTCCTTTACACGCTGGCTTCTGCTCTGGACTCTGAGCCCCCAAAGGCCAGTGCTGTGGCCCCAGTGCGCAGTGCAGAGTGGCTTCTCAGCAAAGCTGCTCTTAATGAGAAGGTGAAACAGGCCCAGAGCAGCAGAAACGTGGGACAGGCCTCCATGGACAGAGAGGAGAGGACCTGTGAGGACCACAGCCCAAGCAGTGGAGACAAAGAACCCTACAGGAAATGGTCTCCCTCATGCCACGGGCTCCTCCCCTCTCTCACTCCACACTACCGCTGTTTGAAGCAAAAAGGAAAAAGAAAAAGGTGTCAAGTTTTATTTAGGTTGCAATGGTCACAGACAGGACATCTAGCCACACACCCCAGCCCACCCTCCACAGCCCCCTGAGCAGGCCCAGCCCCCCTCGCCCTCAGTCTCCCTTCTTGTCTTCCTCTTTCTTCTCCTTCTTGCCATCCTTGGTGGCCTGGGAGGCCAGGGAGCCCATGGCATTTCGAATGGCCTCATTATTGGGGTCCACGCCTGGAAGGTTCTCCAGGACACTCTGAAGGAACTCGGGGTCCTGCATCACGTCATAGTCATCCTCCTCCTGAAAAGGGCAGTGTTAGCTCGGGGCAGGAGCGCGTCCGCCAGGGAGCAAGCGAGGGTAAGACCCCAGGGCGCCGCTGCCTGAGCCCTCTCTTCCACTGACTGGGGATGGGGGACACTTTGGCCAAGGGTAGGAAAGGGAGATCCAGCAGGACACGGGTGCTGACACCGGTATGACCGCGAACGCTCCCCACTGAGCAAACAGAGGAGAGCGTAAGAAGCTTGCTTGTCGAGCTCAGGAGAGTAAAACAGGCTGTGATGTCGAGGCTTCCTGCTCAGACACCCACCCCTCCTTTTTCTTTTTCCCAGACCCCTTTTCGCCTTCCTGGGCAGCTGCTATCCTAGAGATTTGTCCAGAATGTTCTACCAGCAAGGAAGGAAAATGAGAGGACACTGGGCCTTCTGTAACTCTGCGTACGAACATTCTGCTGCCTTAGCAAGGTTTACACACAAGCAACACCCACGCTTCCTTCTGCTCCTCAAAGAACTCATCTAGGAACCTAAGGGCTGAGGCCTGAATACAGGAGGATTGGAAGCCTGATGGGGGTTCACTGTTGGCCCTCACCTTGGCTGGCTCAGATGTGTCCATGGCTGAGCTGGCATCGATGTCAGCTGATTCTGCCTGGCCAAACTCTGAGGAAACAGGTCAGTCTGTTCAGCTTCTCCCCCTGGCCTATCTGCCTGGCACCGCCCCCAGCCCCCCAGCTCACCTGCCCCCTGCAGGGACATCTGCATGGCGTACGCGATCTGCTCCTCCTCAGTCATGCTGCTCAAGTCAGGGAGCCCCGCGCGGCCGAACTCCTGCTGGCTGATGGTCATCTTCAGCAGGGTGTCGTCCGAGTCTGAGGACAGCACAGAGCAGCAGGTAGAAAAGCGCCCTATTCCACACCCACCCACCCCCAAAAACCATTCCCTCACCCAGTCCTCCCACGCAGTCCCACCCTGCCAGGCCTCCCGGCCTCAGCCCAGGACGTCAGAATCCACCTCTCTCACCTTCAGTCCCGGCCGCAGCAATCCCGGCTTCAGCAGCAGAGGCCGCAGCTGCCCGCCGTGCCTCCTCCTCCTGCCGCTGCCGCTGCTCCTCCATGGAGACACGCAGGGCCTGGCAGAGAGCAGGGCGAGTCAGGCATGCGCCAGCCCTCACTTCTGCCCAGCCCAGGGAAGTCAGCTGAAGCGGTGGGAAAGGAGCACAGAGGGGCAGCTTCTGGCCTATGCATACAGATAAGACTTGGTATGGGAAAGAAGGAAGGGCTTGGAGGGAGCCTGGGGTTCAATCAGGAGACGCTAACGAGAGAGTCTGACACCGGTACCCCTGCAGATCAGACAGAGTTACAGGGAAGAGGAGGCCTAAGGGGTCTGGGAAGATGAGCAAGGGTGATGGTGGTGTTCAGGACCGTCTAGCCCTACAGGAGTCTGTGTGGCACAAACAGTTAAGAGCTTGGCTGCTAACCGCAAGGCTGGCGGTTCAAGTCCACCCAGAAGCTCCTCAGAAGAAAAGCCTGGTGAGCCACTTCCGAAAAATCAGCCACTGCAGACCCTATGGGCACAGTTCTACTCCAACCCCCACGGGGTCGCCATGAGTTGAACGGATTCAACGGTAAGGGGTTTGGTTTCTGGTTAGCCCCAGAAGCCACAAGATGTGCGTCAGCGTCACTCGAGGGCAGGGCAGGGCCTCTGGGTTCTCGCTGGGGTTGCGTCTGCTCACCAGGGCCAGCTCAGGATCGGCGCTGGGATCCACTCCAAACTCGAAGTCGCTGGCACCGAGACCCAGCATGGCGCCGCCTTCACCAGCCAGAACCGGCGAACTGATGAGGGCGTCGGCCAGGCTGGGCCCCGGGGGCACCGTCACCAGGTGGGAGCCGGTCCCGTCTTTGCCGTTCAGTGTGTTCACAAAGGCTGTCAGCTTCTCCGTGTTCACCTCCTGGGAGGGAAGAACACAAGAGGCTCTTCGTCACGCTCTGCTCCCCGTCCTCTGCCACTTCAGCCCCTGTCGGCAGCTACTCTCTCCAAGAGCAGCCACCCCTCTGCATCAGGAGGGTCTGTTTATAACCAACTCACGCCAAAGCCCTCCAACCAGACCCCACTCACCTCTTCCCCAAAATTGATAATATCAACATTTACTTTCTCCTTCTTGAGGCGTTTGGCCAGTTTCACCAGCTGGGAAGAAGGGGAAAAAGATGAGGAAACCTGTCCCACACCAGGAAGGAGAAGTGACAGCTCCCATAAAAGCACAGAGTAATCTGCTGACCGCCTGGAGGTCCCCCAACACACACTGAGTGCCATACCTTTCCCAAAGCGACCCACGCACAATGCCTCTGCCAGGCTCTCCTGAGGTCTGACAGACCCCACTCCCAATGCCCGTCCACATCCCCCAGCTGCTACCCGGACTCACATCCTTTTCGTTGTCTTCCACGGGGCTTCCCACAAAGGCAATGATGCGCATCTTGTGATTCTTGCCCTGTCGGTGCTTGAGAGCCAGCTTGTAAAGGAAAAGGAGGTTCCCAGAGTCAACCAGAGGAATGGCCGAGCCCTTTTCTCTGTCCGTCTGTCCCTTTTGTTCTTATGGTTTCTACAGACCACCATGCTCAACAAGGTCTGGACCCCTTCTTCCCCCCTTCCCCTCTTGCAGTGCCTCTCTGTGGATAAGGAAGGAGGGTTAGTTCCCAATTCTAGGGATTCCCCCCTTCACGATCCTCATCCATCCTGGGACTCGTCCCCCCACTCCCTTTCCACTACCCATCTCTAGGTCACCTCCCTCCCATGCTCTGGTTCTAGCTCAAGATTCCAGGGGAGGAATCAATGACACAGTGACAGGACCTGAGAGCAGGGAGGGACAATCAAGGAGACCCAAGAGGACTCACGTGGGCCACGCGGATGCCAGTGCAGAAGGTGATCTTGCCCTTGGGCTGGACAGTGTGGAGCTTGGACAGGATGCGGCCAGTGTCAGGGGTGAGTGTGGTCAGCACTTCACAGTCACTGGGCGTGGAGGGAAGCATTTCAGTGATGTCACCTCAACACAAGTGCCTCCAAACTGCGTCTGATTCGTCTTTTCTTTAGGGACCTTGATAATAACTGTAATCTCTATTCTTGATGAGGGATTGATTTTGTAAGAAATCTGCCCTCTACCCCCCAATATTTTCCCCTAACTCATCTTATCTTCCTCTCAGGGCCCTGAGATTCCTCCTGCTAACTGGATGCTACTTTGTATCCCTCCTCACCCTCTCCACTTCCAGACCCATTTTCAGCTAGCAGCACGGATACCGGGGTGAGAGGTTACTCGCTTGAGGATTATCGATTTCTAAAACCAATCCTTTATGGAGCCACGGGATGCGTGATGTACGCCCCAGGTCCCTGATCCAAAATCACTTTCCACTGACTTTAAAATGTACCACGGAATTCCACCCCAGGAGATTTAGTTTCATAACTCTATTAAATTAAGGTTAATATTAAAAACAAGATGCTGGATATCTGCCTTAAGCATCGTGCTCTTTTAAGATCTATCTATGTGGGATCAAACTGACAACAGCAACTCAAGAGATCAGATAGGAACCTTAGGGGGCAGTGAGTTTATGTTAATGGGGGAGGAACAACTCCGAAAAGGAGGCTGAGAATGGTCACACACCTCGAAGAATGGAATCAAGGCCACTGAATTGTACGTGGAAAAATGGTTGAACTGGTATATGTTCTGTGTACATTCTTAAAACAACAACAAAAAAGACTTTATGCGAAGTTCAACCTGGTGCTCCTGGCTGTCTCTACAAGGTGTCAGAACAACTATTCCAAAAGGAAACAACAAACAACTTTAATATAGTTGAACTGACTTTGCTTTTATGGGAAGACTGAGTAGGTGGCAAGCTTTAAAGATACTGCCAATTGAAATCACGTCAGCACAAACCAGGCGGGGAAGCCGCTGTTTACGCTGAACAGTAAGAACACGGTCTGCGCAAAAGCAGCCTCGGGGGATCTGCAAAAGGGCAGCTGCCCATATATCACAGCAGGTTACATGTGGGAAGACAAGCACCTACCACGCCCCTCCTCCTCCGTCCCACGTACTTGGCCAAGGTTATGAGGCCCACGTTGTTCTCGGGGTTGCTGCGGGTTTTGGAGTGGCAGACTATGTTGACGGCATCCTGTTGCGCCTGCAGCCGGGTGGGCAAGAAGTCTCCATTCCGCATATACTCACTGTTATCCACGCTGTCGGGTTAGGGTTCAAGGAGAGAGAAGAAATATTCTGAGCATTAAATACTCTCTCCAGCGCCAGGCCCTCCAACACTTCTTTTGCAGGGGGCACCGTGGTATGGAGCAGGGACTCGAGTCTTTGTGGATCATAGAATCACCTGCAAACTTCTTTTTTTTTTTCAACATACAGATGGCCAAACGTTACTCCATACTTACCAACTCAGAATGACTAGGGGAGGAATTTCTTTTAAAGCCCCACAAGTGATCCCGATGAGCACCAAAGGTTGCAATCTACCTTTTTTAAGCTACATTCAAGCATTATAAGCTTTGTTATGGATGTTATGGATGAATATTCTAAGTCTGCCATTAAAATGGGAGTATTCCAAAGGTAGGAAATGAAGGTGACAACTTAAAAAGATTAATAAAATAACACAAACTTGGGGGCAATGGGTGCAGGAAAGCACAAGGCAATTATCTAGTTCAATGCTTAACAGCTCTGGCAGCTGGACTGAAGTGCAAAAATGAGGTTTCGTGGGTTTGGGCCTCCGAGTTCCCTCACCTCTTCTATCCCTGCCACTTTTTGCAACCTGGAAAATTTCAGATAATGTGAAGTATAAGCTCCAGCTGTCCAGAGACCAAAAGAGGTCAGGTAAACGAGGCAGTTTTACAAGCCTCTGAACAGGATCAGCTCTTGACTATCCCTGAGGTCCTCAGCTTAACAGCCAGTGATTTCCTCCAGACAACACAAAGAAGCAGGGTCCCAGATACCTCCTTTCTACTGGCAAGCAAACGATGGGCTTGGGGCAATTTTTTTTTCTTTATATGCTTTGTTTGGCCATACTAAATACAAATCAAAACTGCTGAAGAAAGGCAATTAAGAAGCTACTGGAAAACAAGTAGAAAAGGCAATATAGGTAGTCCCCCAGCTTAATGAGGCATTCCAGTTAGACGAACTGCACTTAACGTCTTTTTTTTTGTTGTTTACATCTTATCCTTAGTCATATGTGCTGCATACAATGTTGCAGCACGTAATTTGCTGATGTTACCATTCTCAGATGTTAACTCCAAGACGTTCAATTTTATGATTTACGCTTCAAAACACTGCCATGTAGATTTAGTTTTCTAAACTAAATCAGGGGCTTCAGCTGCTTGAAAACATAGACCCAAACGCTGATCGCGTTGCTAAAGTCGACAGGCAGATTTGGGAAGCAGTGAGATGCTGCCTCAAAATATATGAAGAAAAAAAGAAAATGACCATTCAGACAACTCTCACTAATTTTCTGACTAGAAACATCATCATACCCATTCTCAGGGATAATCCTGATGATCCAGAACCTTCCACGAATGGAGTTATTACCACAACCGACAAAATGCCTACGTTGTCCTATTCTTCTTCATTGTCAGAGCAAACTTTTATGATTTGCATATTTATGTACATATGTATATATACATTAAAATACAGCTGTAAGTTTATATGTAATGTTTCCAACCCCCAAAGACAAGGATTCGATTTATAAAGATATTGATAATAAAAGGCAATAATAATGGAAACTTAAAAAAGTATTTGACTTGAGTCAAAACCAACTTACAACAGCGGCAGCAGAACAGAAGCCCCTTGTAAATCAGGGACTACCTGTATAGGGTAGTGATCAGGCACTTGATCAAGTACTGGGTTCAAATTCCCAATCTGTTACTAATTCTAGGATCCTCAGGAAGTTGCTTAATCTCTCCAAAGTCATTTCCTCTTCTGAGCTTTATTGTACCTACCTTACAGGGCTGCTATGAGGATTAAGCAAAAGACTCAACTGTGGGCAAGACCAGCAGATGGATGGATGGGGGCTGGACCTCAGGGTAAGAAAGGGGGCTTGAAGGAGAGGGAGAACTGATGTGAACAACAAGACAGCAGTTCTCACGCTTTGCCATGCATCAGAATCCCCTGGGCGGGTGGTGTTAAAAATGCCTTACCAACTTGTATGCCTCCCTAAAAAAATAGTTTCGTTTTCCCAATTTGAACTTTCTATGAATTGAACAATATAGCTATGTCTTTTTGTGACTACTTTTGCTCAATAGTATGTAATTTTTCCTAATAAAAATTCATATCAAAATAAGGATTTTAAAGCTATTATCCAGCTATTCTACAAAGTCTTCATTGAAAAAAAAAAAAAAAAAACCAGATGCCTGACTCCCCTAGCTGGGAGAGTCTGACTCAACAGAGCTGGAGTCTGGAGTCAAACACGTGCATTTTTAATAAGCCCCCCAGAGAATTCCGGCACACAGCAAAGCATGAAGACCCTGCAGAAAAGAGGTAGCCCTCATCATCATCCTGCGCCTGGGCTATTAAAAAAAACTTGCCATCGAGTCGATTCCGACTCACAGTGACCCTACAGGACAGAGCAGAACTGCCCCACAGGGTTTCCAAGGCTGTAATCTTTAAGGAAACAGACTGTCACATCTTTCTCCCATGGAGCCACTGGTGGGTTCGAACCACCGACCTTTCGGTTGGCAGCTGAGCGATTAACCGTGGCGCCACCAGGGCTCCTTACGCTATTACAACAGGCCACCGATATGTCTTTCTGGAACTCATTTTTCCTCCTACGCGCCAAGCCAGATCAATACTCTTAGATGCCACTTTGTATACAGCTCTGCCTCCACCACCCTCAGAGTGTTTTCAGTGGTCCTCTATTAAAGGGAACAGGACAGAGTTCAATCTCCTGAGGCTGACATTCACTGTCTTCTATCTAGTCCCAGCTACCTTTCCCCTGCCCTCAAAAAGGGACCTACCTTAAACCAGCCTTATAGTATAGTCACACTAGTCTATTCCCTGCCTCCTACACACGTCTTTCTACCTCAGCAACTCTGCTTCTGCCGTTCCCCTACCTTCACGACTTCATGACTTCTCTGCATTCTAAGGCCCCTAAGGCCCCTCTAGAGGCCTTCCCAAGTACACCACAACTAACACACGCACAGTGCTCTACGTTCGCAAAGAACCATCATATACATTTAATTTTCACAACAGTCTTCGGCTATAAAGCAAGTGGATGTAACTATCACTCTCATTTTACAAACAAAGCGAGAGATTAACTAACATTTTCAAGAACACCCAGCTATAGCAGAAAATACAGGTTTTTGGATTCCAAATCCTGTCCTCTTTCTACCCTGAAATGATCTTCCCCAGAAGTTGCTAAATTTAGCAAGTAAAAATACAGGACACCCAGTTAAATCTGAACTTCCGGTAAACAACAAATAACTTTTTAATGTAAGATTTTCCCATGCAATAACTGGGACATAGTTACAGTAATTTTTTATACTACAAGTTATTCGTTCTTTATCTGAAATTTAACTAGGTGTCCTGTATTTTATCTGACAATGCCATCCTCCCCCAAAAAGGTGTGTCTGTTCCACCCATTTGATGATTTGTGAACTACTCTGTATTATGTGCCATGCTCACACTTAGAAGGAACCTTGAAATCGTGTATAAATTTCTGTCATCAGCTTCTAATTCTGCTTATTAATAGATACTCAGCTCAAATCTGAGACTGATGAAGAGAGGCAGCCTAGCTCAGCGGATCGGAGTCTTTGTGTCAGATAACCCTGGGTTGAAATCCTAACTCCACTACTCACGAGCTGTGTGACTTTGGGCAAATCGGTACCCTCATGTGTAAAATGAGAGAGATTTACCCTGAAGTGCTGCTGTGAGATGTAAGTGAGATAAAATAAACCAAGTGCCGGACATATAATACGGAATTTATAAACGGTACCTCTGAAGAAGACAAGACGGAGTTAGGGAAGAGTGAATGGGGTGGGGAATAAATTGATAATCTCTCTCCGAATCTCCATTATCTGGAGGACAGGAGTGCAGATGACTATCAAGCAGGAGTCCGAGAAGTAGGGCTCGCTCTGGCTAAAGTCAGATCTGGGACGGTCTAGAGAAGACGCGGCGGGAACAGAAAGGCAGCAAGGACCGGCAGGTCAACGTATGTCCGCGGGCTAGGGGTGCAAGGGGGGACCCCGGGCCTGTCCTCCCCTGGGCCCCGGGATGACTCAGGGGTCCTACGAGCTCCATCTCTCCGAGCCCAGGGCCGCATCTCGCCCGTCAGCCTCCCGACTCCACCCCAGACCGGCCGGGTCACCGCATTATACGCGTTCCCGACTCAGGCCCGCCCCCCACGGGGCCCCCAGGTGGCTCCTCACCAAACCATAGTGCTTTCCAACACCATCTTGCCACCTTCCTCCCTCCCTGACGGGTTCTCCTAGACTGTCTAACAACAACTCCTCCAATTGGCCCAATGCTCACCACCAATCACAGGCCTGGATCGGCCAGCTGTTTCCGCTTCCGGGTGCCGCATTGCCTTATGGGATTTGTAGGCGCAGAAGAAATACAAGGGCTGTGTTGGGCGATCCTTGGTAATTGCAAAAAAGAGGGTCACACCTCCACCTTCCCTGCCATTCTGGTATCAAATGGGGTTGCCCGCTGGCTAGATCTAAGAGAAGTTGTGGAGGAACTTTTGAAAGGGCTGTGCATGTGTCTATTCCAGCATCATCATTTTTAAAATAAGTGGCGTTTATCACTACCGACGTTCTAGCTCCCTCTGTTCCGCATACCACTTTGTTCATCTCAGTGTTACAGCCCTTATCTCCCTCAATTGAATTTGTTTGCGTATGTATCTCCCTCATTTAATTAAGGACAGGGAAGGTGTCTTAATAGTTGCAATCCCTGAGCCTAGTACAGAGCCTGACATATGGTCACCAACCAAACCCACTGCTGTCGAGTGGATTGCGACTCATAGCGACCCGATAGGGCAGAGTAGAACTGCCCCATAGGGTTTCCAAAGCTGTAAATTTTTACAGAAGTAGACTGCCACATCCTTCCCCGCCAAGGGGCTGGTGGGTTCGAACCTCAGCCTTTTGGTTAGCAGCCAAGTGCTTTAATCATTGCAGCACCAGGGCTCCTTGACATACGGTAGGAACCCAGAAAAGGTTTGATGAATCCATAATTCAATTTCCAAAAAACAAGGGGAGACAAACCAGTAAACCATTTTGCTTTTGGATTATCCTCCTTCCCTACACACACACACACATCAAGTAAAACTGGAAAATGAAATCCCAGGTCTCTACCAGGCCGGTATTTGGTTCAGGCAAGGCTTCATGGGGGAGAGGAGTGCTCTAGATATTACCTAAATGTTACGTTTCAGTGGATACTTTCAAAGGTTATCGGGAACCATCACAGCTTGTATAGGAGAAAATTTCCACACAAATAGAGGGGGGAAAAAAAGGCTGTCAACATAACCATAGACAGGAAGTGGGGAGGGGGGAATAGGAAAGCACTGGAAAAAATAGTGACAGGATCATTTCAAACATATCAACCAAAATATTTTTTAAAACAGCTGTACAATGTAAATAGAGACATACCAAACTAAGTGACAATAAAAGTTGAGAATACAGAGACACAAAAAAAAACATATCAGGCAATAGTAATAAAAGAAAGCATGTGTAGCTATATTAGTACTGCACACAGTAGAGGCCAATAGAGCTGAAATTAGATCAAGAGAAGAAAATTTCATAAAAGATAAAATTTGTCAATAAAAAATGCTCTGAGTTAATCAGGATAAGGCAACCACAAAAACAAGTTGAACATCAAGGATAATTATAAGTTAATATTCCTCTAAATGAAGAAAAACAAAGATAAACATGAAACCCAAACAAACTGACTAAGAGCTAAATGAATGTCATCACTGTTCTGGGAAAACACGGTGAATGATGTCTGGAGGGAGGTGTCACCTTCCACGAAACTCATCTTTAGTCAGACATTTAATAGATTGTGAACAGCTTTTAGTTACTGCACTTTTTAAAGTCTGTGGAGGCATAGGAAAATAGACAGGATATAATTACCATAAAAAATGATAGTGAAAAATAGGTCCTATAGGATTGATTTGATTGAACCTGGGGAAGGCAGATCTAATATTTACCTCAAATAGAAATGTCCTGTTAAAACTATTACCAGTAGCTTTGCAGTTGAGAGATATGTGAGTTTCAACAAAAATGCACACGAAGATGAAGTCTGATAGATTCAGAAGTGAAACAAGGGCTTTATAGTGAAAAAAGCAAAAACAATTCATTTACCTCTGTGTCAGGCAATATTATAGGCACTTCAAAGGGAACAAAACAAAGCCCTGCCCTCATGGGGCATACATTCTATAGGGGAGGACAGACAGACAATAAACTAGTAAGTGTGTGCGTGTATTTGAACATATATATATGTCGCAGCCCCTCACACGGGGCACCATCTGTCGCAGTGACGGCGAATGTCAGGACGGCGGAGACAGTAAGCAAACACAACTCTTACAGAGAAGTGGGACCAGGAGGGTCACTCTGAGGAGTCGACCCCGGCTTCAGTCCCAGGAGTTTATTTATAGTCAATACAGCAAACAGTGAAGCAAATAACAGAACAATGGGCTTTGGGTGCGGGCAA